AATGGAATTATTAATCTGATTAAAAACTTTATTCACTAACATGAACAAGCAAATCAAAAGAGAAGAAATGAAAATGTCCACAAATATAGGAAAATGTACTTATTGGTGGATGATAATCAAAGAATTACAGGTTAAAATAGACATCACTTCCATCTATTCTTTCACAAAAGTATAACAATAAAAATATTGGTAATCCTCAATTTTCAAAGATATGAAAAATTGTCATTTAAACATGTTTTTTTAGCAAGAGTGTAAGCTGATCTAACTCTTTGAGAGAACAATGTGATCAAAATTTTAAATGTGCATCTTTTTTATGTTCATATCAGTTATTTCACTTCAGGTAGTTTATCCTAAGGAAATAAAACAAGTAGGAAAAGATTAATGTTCTAAGATATCAATATCATTGTCCTTTATAGTAAAAAAAAGTTATAAACAACTAAACATACATTAATATGGAATTGATTAAATAATTTATAATATAGTCACATGATGGAATACTATGCAGGCTTTTAAAAGATTGAGGTAAATTTTGACGTAATGGCATGAAAAATTATTCCATGATATATTAAACTAAAAATGATGAAGTTATAAAATTCTGAGTATGACCAGTATGTTGAATAGGTACCATTGTAGACATAATAATAATGCAATTTTATTTGGGGTGTTTTATTGTCTCTTTAAAATTTGGCGAGTGGGTGTAAATTTCCTATGCAATGAGATGAAAACTTCACAGGCCCATGGTTTTCTACTCACTCTTGGTGAGACAATCCTACAGTCTAAGTTACAATTACTGTCTCAATTCAAAAACCAGAATGGTTGGTCCATGATACTAATCAAAACTCCAAACTTGACTTAATATCATTTATATATGAGACCTGTTAAGATATTAACCCTTTGTCATTTGTCTTTTAACTTTGATTTTGATGTGTTTTGCTGTAGAGCAAATCTATTTAAGGCCAGAATCCTGCAATTAAAAAGGAGAGTGGAGTTGTCTTCTTTGCTCTTTTCCACATAGAATTTCTCCTCCTCCCCTCTCCTATGGCACCCTTCCTCTCCCAGGAAGACCTGTCAGCTATGTCTGGTTCCTTGAGGTTGGGTGTGTGCGAGTGGGGTGGGAGATAGGGTGGGAGGAATGGTGAGGGGGCAGGAAAGGTCTTATTTGAACCTGTCCAGTGGTAAACTTGTTATTCGGTAAAAGAAATTGAATCAGAAACCAGAGCGGAACAATAGACATCAAAGACAGCATCTAATCTGAAGTCCAAGGGAAGCAGGTGGGGCTGTTGGTTTAGCTGGCTTAGCTCTAAGAGAGGAGGGGGAAAGGAGGAGAGTACATTTCAAGTGGCAGGAAAGGGATAGGCAGCGGCTGGGACAAGAGAAAGAATGACCTGTGCAAGAAACAGGAGGTAGTCCAGGGAATTAGGAAAGAAGGAAGAGGGCCGGGGAAGGGGGGGACCATGGCTACCCAGCCCTTACTCTGCCATATATGTATTACCACCTCCTGAGCAGGGTGCTTTGTTAGTCTCCTTTAACAAAAGGCATAGTGGAGGCTCAGAGAAGTTGAGTAAGCAGTGAAGCAAAAAGCTAAACTCTGATTTCAAATCTCTTATTCCTTCCAGAAATCTGTGGTTCCCAAACAACCCACAAACCCAGTATCAGGCTGGCTGCTCAGAATCACCTAGAGAAGTTCTTTAACATTCATAATCCGTAATCCCTGGCTTCATCCCAGACCTACTGAATCAGAATCACTGAGCAAGATGGTCAGGAAATAAGACATATTCATAAGCTTTTTAGGTGATCCTGTGGTGCAGCGAGTTTGGGAACTAGTATATTAGGTGTATCACATTACCTGCAACATGTAGCTGTAGGGCAGGGGGCAAATGAACTGTTATTTCCTGACACATACTTTGCTTTACTTTATTACGAGCACCTTCTGGGCACTGCTTCGAGTATATCTCCATACGTTATCCTTCCTCGCCATGCTTATGAGATTGGTATCATCTCCACACCAGCGAGAAAGCTGAGAGTGGTTATGTGATGCACTAAAAGGGCGCTTAGTAAGTAGCAGAGCTGGGATTCAGACCCCAACCTGTAGGACCCCTAGTTCCTAGTCTTTGTACCTTACCACACTGTACAGAGGGAAAGGCCTTAGGATGATGGGGGGAGGAGAGAAGAGAGATCCAGATACTGCAGATGAAAAGGATAATTATGGAGGAACTCAGCGAGATCTGTAGTAGTGGCCCAGGCTGTGAGAAACCTTGGCTGGGAAACCAAGTGGGAGGGAAACTGAAGAACAGGTTCAGGGGCTGTGTTTGTGGATTTTCCCATTTCCTGAGAATCTGCCTAGTGAAGGCCAGCTGGCTCTGAGAAGCCGTTATTCCAAGGGGCTGGCTCCCTCTTGTGGCACCTACTGCTGATCCCTGAGTGATCTGAGAGCAGGCAGCCTTGGAGAGAGCAGTGGTGGCAATCTGGCTGCACATTGGACTCACCTGGGAGCCATTAAAACCTACCCACGCCCCCAGGCCAATGGAATAAGAATATTTGGGGGGGATTTAGACCTGCACTGTCCAATACAGTAGCCACTAGCCACATGTGGCTACAGATGTGTAGTTCTTGAAATGTGTAGTTCGAATTGACATGGAAGTGCAAAATTACATACACACTGGGTTTCAAAGACCTAGTACAAAAAAGAGATTGTGAAATATTAATAATTTTTGTATTTATTAAATGTTGAAGTGGTATTTTGGACATATTGGGCTAAAGTATATTATTTAAATTAATTTACTTTTTAAAATGTAACTACTAGAATATTTTACATTACATATATGGCTCGCATTTGTGCCTCACATCATATGTAAGATTGCCAGATTTAGCAAACAAAAATACCAGCTGCTGAGTTAAATTTGAATTTCAGATAAACACAAATAATTTTTTTAGTATATTTAGTAAATTTCTAGTGTAAATATGTCCCATGTGATATTTGGGACCTACTGATACTAAAAATAAAATTCAATGGGTGGGCCGGCCGAGTGGCTCAGTTGGTTAAGAGCTCGCTCAAGAGTTTGAGCTCTGAGCAGCAGTGGTTCAAGTCCAGCCCGAGCTGAGCAGCCGCTGAGCTGCCAACAGGTAGCAGGATGGCTCAGCTAAAAAAAAAAATAAAATTCAATGGGTGTCCTGTATATTGTGTGGCTCCCTAATATGTCTATTGGACAGCACTGATCTAGGTACTTCCTACTTAGAATGTGATCTTGAAGACCAGCAAGATAGGTTTTATCTGGGAGCTTGTCAGAAATGCAGCATCTTGGGCCTCAGCCATAGCTACTGAACCAGAATCTTCAGTTTAATGAGATCCTCAAGTGATTCACACAGACAACAATGTTTTAAAAGTGCCGAGCTTGAGAACCACCAGCAGAATGGAGTCAGCAGTACGGGAGAAGGGAGATGGATCTGCCCAGTGCCCTCGGCCAAAGCGAACAGTCCTGGATTCCAAACTGAACCCATTCGCCTCTCTCCTCTCTCTCCACAATGTGCAACACATAAAGGTTGATTGAATAAATTAGCTAAATGTGAATATGTAAGTGAGTGAATGAATAAGTAAATAAACGAATGAATGAGTAGGTAGTTTAATGGGTGAATAGGTATATACATGTTTGGGATAGTGAATAAATTCGAAAGCAACTAGAAGGATGACTGAATGGAGAATTTCACAACGAATTCAGAACTACACAAGGCCCAGCAGAGGGAAGCATATGGCTCAGACAGAAGTGGCCCAAAAAGTTGTCCCTTCCCTTGCCCAGGACGAGACCATGAAAGAAGGGGCACTCCTCTTGGCCTGAGACCCACCATCTGCAGCCTAAAAAGGGTGGTGAGGAAGAGCTTCCTTCTTCTCCCAAGCCAGCTGAGATGGACCTTCTGTGGGACCTGAACACATAGCCTTTTGCTCACCAAGCACTGGCCCACCCTGCCCCTGCTCTGACCTACCACCAACTGGTTCTCCCTCAGAGCACAGTCAAAATTGCAGGCAATGCTTTTAATTTCCTTTAATTCTATAAAGTGGTCAGGCCTTAATTAATCATTTATTTTTCCAAAATGGTAATTTCTTTCTGGAGTTTTCTTTTGCATTATAAATGTACCATATAGAAAGGAGAAACTGAAAGGCCCCCTATAATCCCTTCCTCCATAAATAAGTACTGTTAACATTTCAAGTATATCCTTCTAGACATTTTATATAATTATCTATACATACGTATTTTACATAAGTGAAATCATGCCAGGGATATTATTTTATGCCCCCTCTTTTCATATCAACCAAAGTATACATATCTAATTCTTATAAATGGCTGCACATTATTCCTTCAGGTGGATGTACCATAATTTATTGAACAAATCCCCTATTGTTGGACATTCAGGTGGTTTCTGAAGTTACTGTTATTATAGGCAATGCTGTTTACTTCCAACCACACACCCTTCATTGCCTAGTGAATTTCTACTCATCGTTCACATTTCAGTTCAATTTCAGCAGTTTCATTTTAAACTGAGAAAAACTTTTTTACTTCTCTTTACCAAAGAGGGGGGGAAAATTCTGCAAAGATACAATTCTTTTTTTTTAAAGATTTTATTGGGGAATTGGGGGAGGGGAACAGACAAGTTGCTACCCTTTTGTTCTTCAATCTAGTTGTAGAGGACGTTGCTTCACTGGCCCATGTTGACACCATCATTGCGCTCTTCCCGGGAGAGGCAGATCAGTCGCCAGCCTCTGGACAGCCGCTCACAGTGGCTCTTGGCAGCTCACACCGGCTGCCAGCCACTCACACTGGCTGCCAGCCACATACGGCAACTTATGGCAGCCCACTACAGCAGGGGCTGCAGCCTATGGCTTTGCCGGCAACTCACGGCAGCCCAGCTCCAGGTCGAGCTGTTGTTCACCATTTTAGCTGTAGAGGGCAGTGTCATTGGCCCTCATGTGGGATCCGAAACGGGGCTCTGCTGCTCAGAGTTGGTGTCCCAAGCCAGCTCTTAACCAACGTACCACTCGGCCAGCCCTGCAGAGATACAATTCTGACTTAAGCATACACCAAAAAAAAAAAGTAACTTAGCCATCAGTATACTTGGATTCTCAGTCTACAAACATTTATATTTTGGTTGATGGCAATACCACATTTCCCCAAGAATAGTAAAAGAGTAAGTAATTTACATTTGCTTAATAACAGTGTTAAGTCCGGTGGTGCCCAAAACAAAATACAGCCTACCTTGAAGGAGTATTAGACCCTCTGTCTCTAGTGAAATAGAAAATTGCTTACAGCTTAAATGTTAGATTTTTCAACTTGTACCCATCAAGATTCAAAAATCAGAGGATCTGGGTTATCAAAATTTATATTACACATAAAAAGTAAATGCTGAAATAACCTAAACACTCAATAGTGGGGGAAAGGTTATGCAAACATGGTACATCCACATAATAAAATATTAAAATTTATGCAAGATATTTTTTTTAAGCTGAGCTATCCTGCCGCCTGTTGGCATCTCAGTGGCAGCTCAGCTCAGGCCAGGCATCGAACCGCTGTTGCTCAAAGCTCACACTCTTGAGTGAGCTCTTAACCAACTGAGCCACTTGGCTGGCCCTTTTAAAGATTTTATTGGGGAATTGGGGATGGGGAACAGTGTTGGGGAATTGAGGAAGGGGACCAGCCAAGTTGTTGTTCTTCAGTCTTCGTTGTGGAGGACACCAGTCGCCACCTGGCTGCCCGCCAGCAGCTCATGGCCCCTAAGCTCAAGGTGCTGTGTTCAGTCTTATTTGCAGGTGAGGGTAGCCACCATCCCTTGTGGGAGTAGAACCAGCAGCCTTATTGTTAAGAGAGCATGCTCTGTCCACTGAGCCATCTGGGCAGCAGCTCAGCCCAAGGTGCAGAGTTCAGTCGTAGTTGTTGGTGGGCATAGCAACCAATGAACAGGCAATCTTGTTGTTACACCAGCTGAGCCATCCTTCCACCTGTTGGCAGCTCAGCGACAGCTCAGATCGGGCGCAGAATTACTGGCCCATGTGGGAATTGAACCACTGACCCTGTTGCTCAGAGCTCATGTTCTTAAGCCAACTCTTAACCAACTGAGCCACTCAGCCGGCCCACAATTAATTTTTGATGAAGAAAATGTTTTTGATAAATACAAATGAAAAACATGATAAGAACTCTATGTGCAGTATAATACGAACTATGTAAAATATGTATATATTCAAGGAAGTTAAGATTAGAAGGAAATAAAGCCAAAATATTAACAATAGTACCTCTTAGAGGTAGAACCATAGTTTATTGTTTTATTCTCTATGCTTTTCTAGTTTGGGGCTTTTAAATTTTTTTCCTTTTATTTTGTTTTTTAAACTTTTTATTAGACTATTTTTTAGAGCAGTTTTAGATACAGCAAAACTGAATGGAAGATACAGAGATTTCCTGTATATCCACTATCCCCACACACATGTAGCCTCTCTTAATTATTAACATCCCCCACCAGAGTGGAACATTTGCTACGATTGATGAACCTACACTGACACATCATTATCACCCCAAATCCATAGTTTACATTATGGGTCACTCTTAGTGTTGTACAGTCTATGGGTTTAGACAAATATATAATGACATGTATCCACCATTATAGTATCATAAAGAGTAGTTTCACTGCCCTAAAAATCCTATGTCCCACCTACTCATCCCTTTTCTGGATTTTTAAATTATTGTTTATCCTTTACCATTTTCTACCATTCACATTATTTTTCATGAAAAGAAAAAAATTAATACTGTCATTTGAAGAAACCTTCTTGTGAAGGAAAATAAAATGCAGGTTAGAGCTTTCATTCTCCCCATGACTCAGAAATTCTTCAAGCACATTTTCAGCTCCCCTGGATAACAGCACCCAAAGGTGAACATGCAGTTTGTGGGCTGAGTGTCAGGAGGAGGAAAGGAACCTTATGCGCCTGCAGCTAGTCAAACAGAAACCAGCCCTCCCACCTTGTTTGCTCTTTTGTCTCATTCCCTTCCCGAGAGCAGTACCCCCACTTCCTGATTCTGAGTGTCAGCTCAGATAAGGCGAGTGCTGGTGGGTAAATGAGCAATTCTAGGACCGTCATCCCATATAGGGGGTTTCTTCTCATCTATTGCACACATTAACTGAAGATGATTTGATTTTACATTTTAATTTTTTTTCAACTAATCCAAAGTCAGGGGGCAGGGGGGGTCCTCCCCAGCTCATGTACACACTCTTTAGTTTTGAAAGCAGTCACTACACAGGACCTTTCAGGAGTGTCCTGAAGCATCATTGCACTTTTTTTTTATTGGCCCAACATACAAAAACCTTCCCGGGACTAGCGGTATATTTTCCTTTAGCATACCTCCATTCTTTCAAGAGAAATTTTTATTTCAACTTCTTAAAAGATGATTTCTCATAGCACCACATTCTGTTGGTTGCCTTTTCACTTTCTTGATGCTGTCTTTTGCCACACAAAACATAGTCCACTCTCTCTTTGAGCCCCATGTCTATTCCACTGCCTTATAGGAATGCTCTCTCTCCAAAGCCATTATCATTCCTAGTTGCCAGTCTCTCTTAACTTGCCCATAACTGATTTGGCCAATAATTACCAAATAGAGAATGCACATGACCTAGGGACAGAAAAAACAATCCACTGGGGTACAGGAAGATAATTTCAGAACTTCTTTTTACAATCACTTTTGTATTATCTCCCTTTAGTTTCCACATTAGGCTATGTTTACAATGTAATACATAAATATGGTAGCACATATATATCATGTATAAATAACCATACATATCTGGGGACAAGGACTGCACCTTATCCATTTCCATATCCACAGTGCTTAGTGTACTGCTTGGCTCAACAATTGCTTTTTAGACAAATGCATCCACGAATGAATAAAATCAATCACATGAAGTCAACCAGTCAATGGTGTTCCCCAGTCCCTGTTTACAAAACATTCTAAATAAGTCCCTGCTAAGGCCATAGTCACAGTCCTTAGAGACTTTTCATTGCTTCCTGCACTCTAACCACCTGCGCTAACCGGCCACCCGCCCCTCCCCTCCTTTTTTTTCATTGCTTCCTTTCTTTTCCATGCCTGAGGTGAATGATTTTTCACAGGACACACCACACCTACTTCTATCCACCTCAGTCCCTGCCCCCCTCAACCAGATCATCCTGAGTCCCCAAGATCTCCTATCTTAGCCCATCTGCATCCTCTCCCAAAGTCAGCACCTCTGCTTAGAGTCACCAAAATCTTCACCTTCACCTTCAGCTCAAGAGTCATATTTCTGGCATCTAGATCCTGGCATTGCTCCCACTCAACAAACCTTAGCAGTGAGCATCTCACTGACTACGACTGCTCCTTGTTGTCCAGATCCAGGCTTCTGCACCCATGTATGATAGTGGTTTTCTCACCTGAAAAGAAATAGGAAAAAAGATGGAGGATAATATGAAACAAATAAAAATGTATATGTCCTATCTGTCCATGACTGTTCTTTATTATGATATTGTAGTTTTGTATGTTTTTATATTAAATATTCTTTCTCTTATAAATAATGGTGATTATGCTAATTAGTTCTTGTCCTTACTGGACAAAAGCAAAAGTTTGGCAGTCCCCTTTGGGTTCTGAAATCTTTTATATGAAAATGTATTCGTTCACACAATCCAAAATCCTGGGAATCACCAAACCATCAGCAAACAGAAATGTTTTGTTTGACTTGTTTTTAAGGTGGGGAGAGGAGAAGTTAATTCATGGGGTAAAATACAAATAGTCCACAAGAGGTTACAAACTAATCTCGCCATTCAATCATGATGGCTTAGCACATCTGTTTTCCTAACAGCAATAGCAGATTTTAGAGCTGGGAGGGAGTGTGAGGAGCCTGGGGCACTGAGCATCAGTGAGGAAGGGAAGTCTCAGAGAAAGATAGATAAGTGAATCTGAGGATCATCTGTGATGTTGTCACACCCATGCCAAGGCTGATTCTGTTTCAGAACTTTTGCCCTAAAAGGGCCTCCTATATTACGGGTACACCTTGATATTGGCATGTGCTGGCAACAGGGAAAACATGGACCTTGTAGATAGTATCCATTATTCCTGCTGCATCCTGCTTTATCACCAAAGGGAGCAAGGTTTGGGTTTCCCAACTGAAACCCTGCTTGGCAAACAAACAGGGTTTTGTCTTGTCTGAGAGGATCCATAAAGTTCACATTCTTTTCCAAACATGCTAGGCATATTTTGTATTAAAAATCCATATGCTATGAGTCACTCGAACTGGAACTGAAAAACACAGTCAGGTTCTAGAAAGCCAATGAGCGCTGGGCAGTACTTTGATTGGCCATTCTTATTGGCTTTAGAATGAAATCTTGAGACTGAAATGGGGTGGGATACTTGAACCATTCATACTCCCTGACCACAGTCAGGGGAGTATTATCTTGTTCCTCCCATAAGCCAAACCAAATGAGAATGAGTCACACATGGCTGCATCTTGTCCTTGAAACACCCATATTAGGCTGAAAGTCAGGGTTCAATGGTCATTTTTTAGTCATATCTGACTGGGCAACATAAGCTCATATCAAGAACATGCTGAGTTTCTCCTCCAGCATCTGGGACGGACATTTCACCTGGAAGGAGCAGGTTGACTCTCTTGATTCTGGAAATTTGAACTTGATTTTTCAGAGCCCACACTCAGTGCTGAAGACTCTGGACATAATGGTATCCAGCCTGTTATTTTTCAAAATATTCCTGTACTGTGGATAAAAAATACTCTTTACTTCTCTGGGAAACAGAAGCCCAGGGGTTTTTTTGTTTTGTTTTTTTAAGAAAAACTACTTTATTTATATTTGGAAGCTATATATTTTTTTGTTTTTTTAAATTATTTTTATTGTGAAATACACATTTTTTAGAATTAATTTGGCCCAGTTTTGATAAAATGGTATAAGTAAAATCTCATAACAATGTCAGAGTTAGGACATGAACATCTTCACAGGTTATATACATACTGAGATTGCTTTGCCTCTGATTCTCAGATTTGGTTAAAAAAAATTCCTACAAATTTCTCAAGAATCCTTGACCACTGGCCATCTGGACAGAAGGTTAGATACAAGGAGTTAAGGTGTGTTCTCTTGGCCACAGGGCTAAGTGCACATCTGGCAGCCAGAGGTTGCTTCCAAGTTTTGGCAATTAGGAATGAGGCTTTGATTAACATCTGTATACAGGTTTTTGTGTGGACATAAGTTTTCAGCTCATTCAGATAGATATCAAGGAGCATGATTGCTGGATCAGATGCTAAGATTATCTTTAGTTTCGTAAGAAACTGCCAAGCTGTCTTCTAAAGTGACTGCGCCATTTTGCATTCCCACCAGCAATGACGAGAGTTCCTGTTGCTCCACATCCTTGTTAGAATTTGGTGTTAGTGTTTTGGATGTTAGCCATTCTAATAGGTATGTAGTAGTACTTTGTTGTTTTAATTTGTAATTTCCCAATGCCATATGATGTTGATCTTTTCAGATGCTTATTTTTCACCTGTATATTTTCTTTGACGTAGTACTGTTCAGATATTTTGCCCATTTTTAAAATCAGTTTCTTATGGTTGAGTTTTAACAGTGCCTTGTGTATTTTGGATGGGTCCTTTATCCAAATTTTTTGGTTTTGGATAAAAACATTTTTGCAAATATTTTCTTTTCCAAATATTTTCTCTCCATCTGTGGCTTGTCTTCTCATTACCTTGAGGTTTATAATTATTTTTATTCTCAATTTTTAAAGATATAATTCTATGATGCTCTGGTCTCTATTGTTGCAATTGATATAATGGCTATAATTCCTTTATTTATTATACGTTTTCTTAAAGGTTTTTCTCTTTATCTTTGGTCCTTTACAATACTACAACACATCCAGATGTTGATTTATTTTTATTTACTTTTTGTGAACTACTGTACATCCCTAATATGAGATTGATGCTTTTCATCGATTCTAGAAAATTCTTAGCCAATAACTTATCAAATTGCCTCTCTTACATTCTCTTTATTCTCTTCCAGTACTTCTATTGGACGCATGTTGGAACTTCTTATCCTATCCTCCATGCCTCTTACTGCTGTTTCATGTTTTCCATCTCTTTGTCTGTCTACATTTTGCATAATTTTCTCAGTTCTATCTTGTAGTTTGTGAACGCTAACTTTAGCTGTATTTAATGCTAATGACCTGTTGTTAGTTTTCTATTGCTGCCATAGCAAATTTCCAGAAACTTAGCAGCTTCAAACCACACCCATTTATTATCTCACAGTTTCGGTAGGTCAGATGTCTGGCATGATGTGGTAGGATACTCTGCTTAGCGTCTCACCAGGCTTAAGTCAAAGTATCAGCCATGGCTATGGTTCTCATCTGGGGCTTGAGGTCCCCTTTCAAGATCACTGTTGGTTGGAAGAATTCAGTTCTTTTCAGGTGTAGAGCTGAGATTCCTGTTTCTTCGTCTTGCGATTCCTTTTATCTTCAAATCAACAATTGTGCATAGAATCCTTCTGATTCTTCTAATCTCTGGCTTACCTTTCTGCTGCATTTCTCTCACCTCCTGTTCGCCTTCCTCTTTCCCTCCTTGGGGCTCACAGGATTACACTGGGCCTCCCTGGATAATCTAGGATAATCTCTCTATTTTAAGGCTCCCTGATTAGTAACTTTGATTACATCTGTAAAAACTTTTTTGCCATATGACATAATATAACCAAGAAGCAGAATTCATAGGGGCCAACATTGTGCCTACTACGCTGTCCACTGAGTTTTTTATTTCGTTGACTATATATTTAATTACTAGAAATTCCAGGCTGGGGGTTGTCAAATCTTCCTGTCCTTTTTTCATGGTGACTTGTTTTTACTTACAATTTTTGCTTCTTCTTTTAGTCTTTCACCAATATTAACTAATTTTCTTGGGGAGTCCATCATATGTGTTTGTTAACTCTTGTGATTTTATTCATAGTCAAATGGTGGGCTGGAGTCAGCCTGTGGGAGCTGGTTCTGCACATCGCCTCCCAACTTTGCATCCAGTGATCTCACATTGGTAGCTTGAAGTCAGTCATGGTGGGAGCAGTTATGCCACTGAAATTGGCAAACGCTGTTAAGTCAGTAATTTTTTTTTCTTTTGAGAGTTGGTCTGCCACTATGTATACTACTGTTTATAATAGATTTTGAATTTTGTGTGTTGAGCTCAAGATTGACAGGGATTTACATGTAGAAATCCTATTCAACCTGCAGCGAGTGTTTTGCAGTTCCTCCTGTAAGTCTTTCTAGATGGGTTATCAGCCTGGAATCACCTTTTAATGCTCTTATCTTAGTGTGGGAGTTTCAGAACATGATGTGGGATGTGTAAATTCAAACCCCAGTCACATATGAAACAGAGGCTCGTGGTCATATATTCTCAGAAGACTTTTTTTTTTTTTCCATATAGGGACAAGGTCAGACTAAGCCTAAGAAGCTCTCTTGTTTTCTCCCTGGGCCAGTGAGCTGAATTTTCTTATACATCCCTTCACTATATGAATTGTTGAATTGATTACTGAATGAATCCTTCCAGTGGTTTTCAAATTATGTTCCCTGATGCCTTGAGGGATTCTAATAAATGACCCAAGAAACTACTTCAGGGAGCAAGAGAAAAGTGGTCAGACAATTCCCTCCATCCTATAAACCAGAGTAGCACAAATTTCTCTTCTCCTAAAATTGCCATGAAAGTACACACACACACACACAAAGTACACACACACACACACACACATTTTATCTACATGACATATTAGTCTTCCTGACAATATCACAAAGAAAGTGGTTCCTCTTTTTTAGAATTATGAAATTTCTCAGATATTCCAGACCCTTTACTTTAAAAATGGGAAAACTGAGGCACAGAAATATTAGCCAACAATGTATAACATAATTCCGTGAGTTGGTAAAAAGACTTGAGACTTGAGCCCAGGTTCAAAGTAGGTATGATAACATTTGAACCAAAAAATTTTAAAAGCCTTTCTGTAACCAGAGACATTTTGTGTGAGAAATTGGGGTTTAATTTCTGATCAATATGAAGAAATACAATGTGTGAGTGATTTGTCAATCACCAAAGCTTTTAATTATATTACTCACTATCAGTCTGCCCTTAGCAATATATGCATCCCTCTGTATCTGTGGGGGATTGGTTCTAGGACCCCCGCGGAAACCAAAATCCATGGATGCACAAGTCCCTTATATATAATGGCATGTTTGCACATATATTATGCACACCATCCCATATACTTTAAATCATCTCTGGATTACTTCTAATACTTAATACAAAGTAAGTGCTGTGTAAATAGTTGTTATACTGTATTGTTTAGAAAATAATGACAAGAAAAAATAGTCTGTACATATTCAGTACAGGCACAAAACCATCATAGATAGACCTAACTACATCATACATACATATCAGCAACAACGTAGCTTTGTTTTTCTGAATATTTTTGATCCATGGTTGGCTGAATCCATGTGGATTCTGCATCCACAGATATGGAGGGCCCACTATATTTGCTATTCTTTTCTGAGTACAGGTCTCCACATGCAATGCTTAGCATTTCACATTTAATCTACAAAACAATCCAGGGAGATAAAACTAGTATCTCATTTTACAGATAAAAACAATAGGCTCAGAGAGGTTAAGTGACAACTAGCTGTTGTCTCACACAGCTAGTCGGCAGTGGAGTGAGGATTGAATGCAGGCTGTCTAGCTCCAGAGCCCAGAGGCCTGCTGCTTACCTCTGCTGTCTTCCCTCCTCCATGGTCGTTCTGCTGAAGGCAGAGTCCATGCCACAGAAGCTGCAAACAGCTTGACCACATTAACTGCTCATTTCCATCTAATTACTACAGTTGGTTATTTGCAAATTCGTCTAGTCCCTAAAATTTATTTTAACCCCCAAATCGATACTGGAAGCACTTCCCTGGTCATTACTGGACGTGGGCATATGCAGAAGGCAAAAAATTTGAAGTGCTAGAGGTGCAAGTTCTCAGCTAAGACGGAACCAGGTTAAGCTCTGCCTTCTTGTTTCAGCTCTCCTGCTGTAATCAAGGGTGCTTCTCTATTAGAATCAAGGATTTCTCTATTTAAAATGGTCCCCTCTCCTAGTGCTAAAGTGCTGTCTAGTGTTTCCAAGCTCAAAAAGGCTATTATGTGCCTTACAGAGAAAACCATGTGTTAGATAAGCTTCGTTCAGACATGAGTTATAGTGCTATTGGCCACTAGTTCACTGTTAATGAATCAATAATATATATTAAATAGGGTGTCTTTAAATAGAAACCCACATAAAACAAGGTTATTTATTGATCGGTTGATGAAAATGTGACCAGAGGCTTGCAAGAACCTAATCCTGTATTTCCCTTCGGGGCAATGATTCAGCATTTGCTAATTCTGTGTTCCTGGTGACATTATAGAACATAACGACCATGATTAACGAGAATCAGCTGTGCTTCATCCGGCCTCATAACGAGCGTTACCTAAGTTTTTAAATTAAAGTGGCAGTGAGACCACATGGATGAAGTTCTTTCTTCTCCAAGTATTTTGTGGCTTAGCTACTGGAGAACCTACCTGGCCAACCTGCCAGACCTTCCGTGCAGCACCTTTGGCACTTGCTTTACCCTCTACAGAGGGGAACCTGGTTAATCAGGAAAGAAACTCCCTCAAAAGGTAAACAGTGAGTTGAGTGTACAAATGGTGGAAAACAAATGACTCTTGGTACCATGTTGTGGAAATTATCTCACGTAGGTAGATAAAGGAGCAGGGCGAGCCCAGGTGGCACTGTTGAGTCCCCTCCTCCATTTCATGGCCCATTGGTGACGTGTGCACCAGCCTTTTCGAGAAAACTCTATCCCTACACTCAGCACTCTCAGAATTGGGCTGTCCCTCTGTCGTGTGGTGCTCTGTGTCAACGATCTACCCCACCATGGCCGTGACCGCCTGCCAGGGCTTGGGGTTTGTGGTTTCACTGCTTGGGGTTGCGGGCATTATTGCCGCTACCTGCATGGACCAGTGGAGCACCCAGGACTTGTACAACAACCCAGTGACGGCTGTATTCAACTACCAAGGGCTATGGCGCTCCTGTGTCCGAGAGAGCTCTGGCTTCACCGAGTGCCGGGGCTACTTCACCCTGCTGGGATTGCCAGGTAAGGGCCAGTGCCTGGCCGGCTGTCAGAGTACACTGGGCCTCTGCCTGAGGCACCACTGAGGGACCATGGGGCGGGAGGAGCAACAGCCTCCACGACCAAGGTAGGAACAGGGGTGTGGGAACCTTAGGGAGAGGAGCTCTCTGGAGCTGTCAGGGCTCCTGCCCCCCTAACTAGATGGTACAATACTCCCCAAGGGGCACATTTTAAAAGATAAGTCCTATGTGAACAATGACATTGAGTCTCAATCACCCACAGGAAGAGGACCCAGGAGATTAGACTTCAGCTACTTCATTTTTTTAGCCCCAAGATTCTCCCTCTCTGAACTGGGAACTGAATCTATCTCCAGGCCCCCTTATGCCTGGTCCCAACTTCCAGGGAAGCCTAAGCATGTAGTAGCAACAGAAATGGGGCAGCAGAGGCACCAGAGAAAAAGAACTGAGTGCTGTGTTTCTCTGGGGTGTGCCAGACAGGCCCCTTCTCTGTGGCTCCAGGCTCCTGACCTTCAGAAATATTGGCCACCTAGAACCAGACCCAGGGTACTCTGCACAGAGGCCTCTTGTGGCAAGTGAACTCTGCCATGGGGACAAAGGGATGTGGGCTGTGACGCTCACCTCCCCAGAATGGCGTTGTGTGTTTGTTTGCTTAGTAGAATAGTCATTTTAACTTGAAGAAAAAGTCAAGTCTCAAGAGAAGACACTTTCACTCAGGTAACAGAGTTAGGCAATGAATAAACTTGCCATTTTTATTTTTTAGTTCTTTGTTCCATATATATATATATATATATATATATATATATATATATATAAATCAAAGTCTCAAGAGAGGCATTGATCTAAGGTGGCATTGTAAGAAGGATCAGAAATAGAAAATAGAGCTTTCCCCATCCACACACTTGCCATTTGTCAGGGTCAAGACTTAGACATGCACAGAAGGAAACAAGTGAAAACATCAGGCATACAATGATTCATGTCTAAAGGTAGACATTACATACTTATTGATGGACAGCCCACTATAGCCTCAGGAATCTGTGGGCTTAGTACCACCCAAAATATGAAAGTACACTCCAAGCTTGGTATGACAAGGTGCCAAGTGAGGACAGAGGACAAGTGCTACAGGAGATAAAATAAGGGTGAAACTGCTTAGGAAAGGCTCCACCGAGAGGGAAAAACCACAAGTGACCCTTGAAAGGTAGTTAGGGTTTCGAGGGGTAGCATCACAGGAAGAAAAACAACATGGGAAAAGGCATGAGGGTGTCCCATGCACGGGGAAAAATGAAATAATGACCTTGGCTTGAGGAAAGGGTTTATGTGAAGACGATTATGGAGATCATTGAATGCCAAGCTGAAAGAGGAAAGGGCTGGGTATAAACAGGAGAACATGAGCCAGACCAGTGGGTGATGAGCTGCTAATTTAGTGGAGTCTCCTTCCACTAGGAATTAGAGGGAAGGTTGAATAACTCCCACATCCTCTGAGCGCCTCTGTAGCTCAGGGTCTAACCACCTGCCCATGGGATTCTCCCTCACCTCAAATGCAAACTGCCCAAAATCTCTCCAGAGGCTAGCCTGGGTTCATACAGAGTAGAGGTCACGAAGGAAAGAATCAGCCAGGGGCTGATCTTATGCCACACAGAGCACCCAGGTAACATCTGAGGGCTTCATACTGCTTCACAAAGGGCAAAAACCAATGAGAAATCATGCACTAACACTTGAGTAAACTTCCTTACCATGTTTTGTGTAATTTCTACAAACCACCCTGTGAACTTGGTGCTATTATTATCTCCCTTTTAGAAACAAGGGAACTGAGTTTGGTTAATGTGCCCAAGGTCACATACAGATGGAGCCAGGACTCAGACCCTGTCCTGCCTGCACCCAAGTCCCAGCTCATAGCCCTAACAGGGAGCTCCAAGGCTCTCAGACTCAAAACAGAAATCAGTCCTGACCCAAAGCAGAAATCCCCAATGCAGAAGCACCTTCCTAGCCTCACCTCTTACCCAAGTCTGGCAAATAATCAACAGGAAAGATCTTGTTAGTAATCTAGTAATATATTAGGATCCTTAACAAATAAATCATTCGTATACATTGACGGGAAAAATGCTAAAATTTCATTAAATAAATGAGAAAGAAGCACAAACTGACAATTCAAGAAAAAGAAAAAGACAAATGCTTCAGAAATATTTGTCAAAAACAAAGTTCAAACTCATCAATAACCAAAGTGATATTAATTAAAACAAGTGAGCATGTATAATTTACCAAATTGACAATATAAGTAAGGGTATAGTGAGACAAGATCTTTCAAATACTGCTGCAGGGAATAAAATTCATAGAAAAAAAATCTGGTTCTACATGAAAAAGATTACTTGAAACTTCATACCCTTTGATATCTTAATCCCACTCTTAAGACTACCCTAAAAGAGTAATCAGAAATTATGGCAAAGAGTTGTCTGAAAAATGTTCATTATAACATTGTTTTTGATACAGAAAAAACTGAGGGAGAGGTATAATCTAACTGTAAAAGAATATATGCTGTTTAGGTGAATAATAGCACTTCTATATAATGGGATACTAATATGCTCATATTAAAATACTATTTTACTCATCAAATGTTTAACATTAAATATATTAAATGAGATTTACAAGGAGCTTTAATTGCACATGTATGCAATTAAGTGAAAAAACCAAAACATCAAATTGTATAATCTCTTAATCAGGTAAAAATTATATACTGAGCGTAGTTAAAAAGGAAGTATTCCAAATATCTTGTCTATATTTAAAATTACGAGTGATTTGTTAAAATTTTCTCTACTTTCAAATTTTCAATTATGAGCACCAAAAGGTGGAATCAGAAATTAGGGATAGACAATGTGGTAATATATTTATTAAATTAATAGATGTATCAATTATTTTATCTTCCTAGTATACTAATTTTACTCCTCCCATATTTTATTTTATATTGCTATTTGACCACCATTTTTGCTTAAGTACCATACATGGTGTTATATTAATATTCCTAAAAAGAAGTAAGGAAAAGGGGGAGGACTGTCTTCTCCAATATCAGTAAAATAATATAAGTTTCTGGAAATTTATAACCTGAAATGAAACTACCAGAACCATATTGAAACCTGCATATAGGGATGATTTTCCCTAAGAAGTCAGCAAAACATTTTGCTCCATTTTAGAGGTGATTAAACAAAGTTGTACCAACCCCATACAGTATTGTTAGACAGAATCAGACCATGAATTATCAGTATTATTATATATTATTATTACATATCATTATAATCAGACCATGAATTATCAGTAGTCTAAGAGATACATTTTATATATTTTAACAAAACCTATTGCCTTGATGGGGAAGCCAGATTTTCCTCAGTGGACCCCATTCACTCTTTGGCAGTGACAGCTGAAGCAGTGGTCCCCTCATTTTAGAGCACAGAAAACTCACCAGAAAGTAAAAAATCCCATCTTCCAGATGTTTTAAAACATGTCAATATTTATTTCACATTAAAAAGTTGTATAGACTTATAATTTCTCTCTACTCATTCAGTATTCTGCCTACGTAGAGGTAGCTTTAGTTTATCCTTTAAAATCAATGTTTCCTTATGGTACATTTACACAATGGAGTATTACTCAGCTATAAAGAAGAAGGAAATAGTACCATTTGCAACAATATGGATGGAACTAGAGAACATTATG